TGCATTTTTTGTGTGTCTACTTAAACGTAGAACAATACCTGGCTGCAAGCCAGTGCTCAACAAATATTTGCTAAGTGGAAATACAACTTGACAATTTGTTTATAGGAAATAAATCCCAAATAGCTCTCAAGGAGACATTTTAAAAATATATTTAATTGATTATGCTATTACAGTTGTCCCCATCTTCCCCCCTTTATTCACCTCTACCCTGCATACCCCTCCCACCTGCATTCCCTAACTTTAGTTCAAATCAATGGGTTGTACATATAAATTCTTTGGCTTCTACATTTCCTATACTATTCTTAACCTCCCCCTGTCTATTTTCTACCTATCATTTAAACTACTTATTCTCTGTAGCTGTTCCCCCTCTCTCCCTGTCCCACTCCTCTGCTGATAACCCTCCATGTGATCTCCATTTTTGTGGTTCTGTTCCTGTTCTAGTTGTTTGTTTAGTTTGTTTTTGTTTTGTTTTTTAGATTCAGTTGTTAATAGCTGTGAGTTTGTTGTCATTTTACTGTTCATACCTTTTATTTTCTTTTTCTTAGGTAAGTTCCTTTAACATTTCATATAATAAGGGCTAGGTGATTATGAAGTCCTTTAACTTTACCTTATCTGGGAAGCACTTTATCTACCCTTCCATTCTCAGTAATAGCTTTGCTGTGCAGAGTAATCTTGGATATAGGTCCTTGCCTTTCATGGCTTGGAATACTTCTTTCCAGCCCCTTCTTGCCTGTAAGGTCTCTTTTGAGAAATCAGCTGGTGGTCTTATGGGAACTCCTTTGTAGGTAACTATCTCCTTTTCTCTTGCTGCTTTTAAGATTCTCTCCTTACCTTTAATCTTAGGTGATGTAATTATGATGTGCCTTGGTATGTGCTTCCTTGGGTCCAACTTCTTTGGGACTCTGAGCTTTCTGGACTTCCTAAAAGTCTATTTCCTTTGCTAGATTAGGGGAGTACTCTTTCTTTTTTTTTTCAAATAAGTTTTCAATATTTTGCTCTTCCTCTTCTCCTTCTGGCACCACTGTGATTCAGATGTTGGAATGTTTAAACTTGTCCTGGAGGTTCCTAAGCCTCTTCTAATTTTTTCTGAGTTTTTATTTCTTCGTTCTGTTCTGATTGAATATTTCTTTATTCCTTCTGCTCCAAACCATTGATTTGAGTCCCAGTTTCCTTCTCATCACTGTCGGTTCCCTGTACATTTTCCTTTATTTCACTTTTTTCCCCTCTAATTTATAACCATATTCAACCAATTCTGTGAGCTTCCTGATTAACAGTGTTTGAACTCTGCATCTGATAAGTTGGCTATCTCTTCTTGGCTTAGTTGTATTTTTTCTGGAGCTTTGACCTTTTCTTTCATTTGGGCCATAATTTTGTCTCAACGTGCCTGTTATGTATAAGGGGTGGAGCCTTAGGTATTTATCAGGGTGGGGAAACCCAAATAATTGCCTTGTGATGCTGTATGTGTTGGAGTGGGCTGAGAGGGAACAGTGCCATTTGCTCCACTCTCTGCCAGTTTTCAGTCCCCTCCCCCGCTACCCACAATCAAATTGGGCTCTTCTGGTGCTGATTCCCAGGTGGGTGGGTTTGTGTACATTCCAGAACCCTGTGGGTCTCTCCAATGAACTCTACTGTGAGGCTGTGAGTTTCTCCTACTGCCTCAACCCTCACAGGTTTTTTCAATCAGAGGTTTTGAAGCTTTATTTCCCCACACTGAAACCCTGGGTTGCATGGTCTGTTTCGCTTCCCAATTGATTCCTCTGATTTATCTGCACGAGAATATGGGACCTCCTGTCTGCCAGCCGCCACCTTGCTGTGAGTCCTCTCCACCACACTGCCCATCTTCACTCCTTCTACTGATCTGGATGAATGTTTCTTTTTTAACTCCTTGGTTGTCAGATTTCCATACAGTTTGATTGTCTGGCAGTTCTGGTTGGTTTTTGTTTTTAAATTTGTTGTTGTCCTTTTGGTTGTGCAAGGAGGCACAGTGTGTCTACCTATGCCTCCATCTTGGCCAGAAGTCCTCAAGGAGACATGTCTTTCTGTTGCTATGATTTAGCTATTTTTACAAGATCAAAGTATCCAGATAGGAAGAGAAAGGACTACCTGATGTGGTTTACAATCACATGAAAAGTCAAAGAAGAAAATTCATCTAGCTCCATATTGTCTTTGGGCAGATGAGGAATCTAAGACCCAGAGAGGCTAAGACACATAGGCAAGGTCATTCAACACAGCCCAAATTAGTGCCCTGGATCCCAAACCCTGTTCCTCATCTACATACACATAGAGGTCTGCCTGAGTGCTGGACTGGTCCATCCAGTTGCCAAGAGCTCCACGTAGTGGTTGACCGATACACTGTTCAGACTTACAATGGCTCCCACGACCACCTCCCCCAATCTGCTTTTCTGTTGACTTCTTCATTTTACTAAGAGTCACTTCATTTCTCATGCCAAAAATCTGAGTCATCCTTGAGTCCTCTATCTCCAAACTCTATATCCAGCAGTCCAGCACGTCCTCTTATTTCTACTTATACAACTTGTCCCCAAATTAAACACTTTTTACCAACTTTGTCCAAGTTTGATCTGGGGCAGTAATGTTCTTAGTGGTCTCCCTCCCTACTTTCTCTCTTGTCCCCTATAGGTCATTCTCACCCCACTGAATGATCAGTTGAAAATGGAAATCTATCCTATTAAATATTTCAGGGAAATATTACTTCTCTGTTTCATTCCCATCTCCTTACCTTCCAGTTCCCAACCAATGTTTTTCTTTCTCATGAAGAGTAAAACCCACAATTTATATCACAGGTTAGAAGACTTGAGATTTTCAATGTGAGTGGATAGTGTCTCATAGGGGCACAATCTCCTTTTTACTCTGCCTCAAAGTAAGAGTAGAGATGGGGGGATCGCTAACGTGATGCAACACATCATTTCTTACATGAGTACACTTGAATCTATGCTTTCCAGAGAAAGAACTTATAGGTAAGGAATGATCAAATACAATGACTCTATATTCAGTTCACATCATTATTCAGGGTACACATTATTAACTTCAATAATGAATCTATGTCGATAGATACTCTTAATATGACTGTTAGCTCCTTGGGGATGAATACAATCCATATATCCTTATACTCTGAGAGCCCAGCACGGTTTCAGAATCAAATTGGGATTCAGAACATGCCTACTGCCCGGAAGAGTAAGTGACTTAAGTCATGACTGATCACACAGCCTCACAACAGGGCCAGGTCAATCACGGTTTCTACTCCTGCTTATTCTCAGCTCACGCTGAGCTGCTTAGAAGAGACGCAGAAGGGAGAGCACCGTCGTCAGAAAGGAGTTGCATTGTGTCCAGTGCCAGGCATGGGCCAGAACGTCCCTAGATGCCTCCCTCCAAAACCAGCAAGTTTAGTGAAAATCTCTGGCATTTAGTCTTTGGCACCTCTCATTCTGAACCCTTCCAGATGTGACCACTACCGTTACAATTACCACATTTCTATAGACCGCTGCATTTACAAAGCACTTGACAACTGATTTGATTTGCTCTCTGGAGCAGCAATTCTGAAGGTAGCGAATACTGTGATCCTCACTGCAGATCAGAGAACTGAGTCGCTTGAAAAAGGCAGAATAAGTCAAGTGAGATCACACAGCATGCTGGAATAGATTTCCAATCTTTTAAATCTTGCAACACCCAATTTAGTTGTTTGCTTCACTGTCTTGTCCTCCCCTTACCTCCCTCAAGGATATGTTTGCTTCCAAAAAGTGGCTCATATCAGAGTGCTTTTTAAGGTAAGTGTAATTGCCATCTGCCTCTTGAAGTAGCTGGTAATACCCTGAGCCTGAAAGTCACCACGGCTTTTTCAGAGCAGGCATTAGACCTGGTACTACCTGTCTGCCCTGATCTCTTCATCAGCGCTCCTTTTAACAAGTTGCCGCCGAGGACAGTCCTTTCTCAATGAGTAAAAAATATTTCCGTAACTATATTCAAGCACTCTATTTTCCTGTCAGAAAGGTAATTGTGACTGGCCAATAAACCAGTTTGAGAACTCAAATTTAAATGAGCCGAATTTAAATTTATAAGAGCTTCATTTAACATGCAATTAATTTTATGCCTATAATAAAAAGAGGAAAACCTCCGGTCTTTCTGAGGAATTAAACAGGCTGATAAGGAAATGCCGTGCCTCCTGGAAATGAGATAAAATGACTCTTGAACACTGTCATCCTTTTGGTTGTATAATATTATATATAATATGTGCTATTTCAGGGAAGTGTTAATTTTACTGAAATTAAATAGGTGTTTTCTGAATCCTTACAGGAACGTGTCCAAATGGTTAGGGATGAAACACAGATTATGGGTTCCAGATTCTGTTCTACACTCTCACTCTGTCCTTTATGTTACTTCTTCAGTCTTTATAGCTTCCAGTATTTTTGTTTCTCCCCCAAAGAATAGAGAATAATGGAAATGGTAGAGCTCAACTATCATTAAGGTTCTTGGAAGTTTGTTCAAACAAGTGAGATGTTGAGTGATGCCCTCGTGTGCCAACCTCCTTATTCCTGTGAGGTTGGAAGTCACATTTCTGATTTATATTACTATTATTTTCCGTGCATCCCATTATAAGCTCATTAATAATGTAATACAACACATGACATTAATTTGCATTTTTCAAGAAGAAACTCTTAGGCTGCTTTTTATTCTAAACTTTGCCCTGGATACTGCCACTCATGAGTCACTGTGCAAGATTATCACTAAGTATGCATTTTCTGGTGTGGTGTGGACTAGTAGCACTGAGAAATTTCTATCACTTTTCTTTGTTGAGGACAAAATAATCCTCTCACGGAGTTTTACAAGGTTTCAATGGTCAATTAACATATCACTGTATTCAATGCATTTTTGAAACTAATATTTTTTTTAAATGGAAATCCTTAAACATAACCAAACTTCAGCCCTTTCTTAATAGTGCTCTTATTTGGGCTTTTTCTTATGGTTTGTCCTGCTTCTGGTCCCAGGGTTGAAGGGCTCCCTCCAGAGGCTGCAGCTGGAGTACGTGGACGTGGTCTTCGCGAACCGGCCGGACAGCAACACCCCCATGGAAGGTGAGTACAGAAATGTCCCGAAGGAGCCATTGCTTCTCGCTTGATGACTTCTTCCGCTCACAGGAAGAAGTGAAATACAGTCAGCCTGATTTGACTGAAAATGAAAAATAAAAACTTTCCAGCCGATGTCTTTCAGCCTCAGCGTTCATCCACACAGCCAATACTCAGCATCCTGCATCTTCATTATTTTTTTAAGTAGTTGCAGGCATTGGAATCGTGGCTCCTGCTGGGTACAGTGCTCACTTTTTCCAGGTTCATTTCACTTCTGTGATCCCATCAACTAAAACAATAAAACTAATTGGAAGGGGAGTTTATAGCCCAGCCATCATTATTTGAGGTAAGTCATCTGAGGGGGCTTCCTATTTTACAATGACTCTAGGTCTGATTACTTTCCAGTCTGTTGTAATAAGTGCTAGGTGGGACCATGAGCAGAGGTTTCATGGGGACCACTATTCAAAATGAGACTCTTCATTGCAATTTAGTTTTTGATTCTCAAGGAGCTTCAACATTTTATTTCCTTTCCATGACAACTATTTGAAGACAATCGTTTAGGCATCTCTTGTAGAAGCTTTCAGAACATTCCTGAAACAGATTTTCTTCACTTTGTATTTATTTATGGAACCTACCTAGGATTATTAAGAAAAAAGATAACTTATGAAGATAAACTAAAAAGAATGTCCAAGGCCCTGACCAGCTAGCTCAGCTGATTAGAGTGTTGTCCTGATACACCATGGTTGCAGGTTCAATCCCCAGTCAGGAGACATACAGGGAACAACCAATGAATGTATGAGTAAGTAGAACAACAATGTTTTTCTCTCTCTCTGTAAAATCAATTTAAAAAAAGGAAAAGAATGCTCTAGTTAATTGAGTTTTACAATCATGAATTATTATCTACCGAAGGCAAATAAAAATAAAAATATTTGTGAAAAAGAGGGGGAAAAAAGAATGTTCTTGTTATTTGAGGTCGACAATATGACATAGATTTATACATTTGCAAAGAGTTGGGCTAGAGTAATCAACATAAAATTATAGTGAAGATGAATTTGTTTTTGATGATTCAAAAAGTAGTTCAGGATATTATTATACATCAGGTTCTATAAAGATTGATTCTTGTTACTGGGCTCTAGAAGTTATAAAGGTTTTTTTGTATTTTTATTTTATATTTAGAGAGAGAGGAAAGGAAGGAGAGAAACATCAATGTGTGGTTGCCTCTTGTGTGCCCCCAAGTGGGGGCCTGGCCTGCAACCCAGGCACGTGCCCTGACTGGGAATCAAACCAGCAACACTTTGGTTCACAGCCCACACTCAATCTACTGAGCTATGCCAGCCAGGGCCAGAAATTATAAAGGTTTTAATGATCAAAGTACATATTGATTTTCCTGCAGGTTGCTTTTCTGACCAATATATGATATTCTCCTAGAGTTTTCTCCTCTCTTGATTCTGAGTAAATTAGGAATTTATTATAAAGCAGTATCAGTGTTGGAAATTCATAATAAGAAATTGTCCATGGAAATGACATAAAACACATCTTTTTATCAAAGCAAAGAATGGGCGTTTGATATAGTAAATTGTAAATGTTCTTAGTCTAAGAAGTGGTTATTATAAGGATAATATGGTGTCATGCTGTTCTCAGTGAAACATGAAAACAGAATGCTGAAGCTCTCTCGGTGAGTGAGAGTGTCAGGTAAAATGCTATTTCGTGGGGGCTGTGAAAGACGGACGTTGCTTCCCATTTTAAGGCCTTAGGCACTGTTTTCTTTTGGAAATGTGTCCTTGGTAATTATACAATTCACAGGGTAAAAGAACACCTGGAATTTTTCAGTCTTTTTTCCCTCATTTTGCCTGTTCTACTCATATCTTTAACTTTAGGGATATAATGTAGTAGTCTCTCAAATAATTTTATAATTTGCTTTATGTACCTATAGAAGGAGGAAATTCTCAATTGGGAGCCAAACTGTATGATACAGATAAGATAATGGTGTCTGTTGTATAAACACTGTAGAAATGTATTAGAAGGATGCTTCAAATTGTTTTTCTTTTTTTTTTTTTTTTTGTAAGAACTGCAGCATTGTCTCCCTCTGTTGGAATTTATGGTTCCCTTTATTTCTTTGTAGAAAATTCTATGAAGTGGAATAGGAAGCTTTTTTATCATGAGTCCAAGGTCAGAGGCCTACTGGAAAATTTGCACTTGTTGAGTAGGTCCAGGAGCATGGCTCTGTGGCAATCAGCCAAGTACGTCCAGCTGCAATGCAGCCTTCCGTCCCCCACTCCCATTGAGGAGCGGACCCACTCCTCACTGGCCCATCAGGCTCTGAGCCCATCAGGCTCTGGGTCTGGGATGACTTAGCAGGGATACGCCACAAGCAATTTCCTCACATAGGACTGGCTCCAGGTTGAAATAGCTTCCCTGTGATTTCTCCCTAGCTTTCAGAAAATGTGCTCAAACCTCATGGACCCATTTGTTCCAAGGTGGGCCCGATGGAAATGATAGTGTGATACTCATCTCTGGAAACTCATTCTCTATATTTTGTCTTTTCTACTTCTCTATACCAGACAAAAGCACTGACCTGGGCAATAGAGAGAAGAAGAAATAGGAAATAGACAGGGATTCGCAGGCAGCCTTGTCTGTGTTTGCTCCTCTAAAAATGGCGAGAATGGCGTCTATGCTGTTGCCAGGTTCCACACTGTGGTTAAGACTCATTCTGGCAGTGACTTTGTAAATCATGTGTGTGTATACGTCAGTCGAAGCTGTACTTGTACAGTGGGGCCTAGCTTAGGTGGGGCTGATAATGTTTCTAAAAATAATATAGGAAGTAAATGTTATGTGTAATCAGAATTGCTCTTGAAAACCCTACAGTAATTTTTTAGTCAATGTTATTCTGTTTAATGAATTATTCAATTTCCTCTCCAAATATAGTGACAAAACCATCACTAGATACTTGTCCACTATTTTTTGTAATAGCTACAAAATTTCCAACATTCTACACATAGTTTTCTCATTTCAGCAACTCAATGGCAATTTTAGGCTCAATTAGGACCACTTCTGTCTAATATAAGTGAGGTAACAGTGGCTGGCAAGTGCGTATTGCTGAATTTTCATACATTAAATCTGCACACGTTGGCGCTATACTATATGTGAGTGCCGGGTAGCTTATCACAGACCCTTAGCACTGGCAGATCCCTCTCACTGGTTTCAGCCATTCCCTGACAACTCTGGGAGCCTCGGCACAAAACCAACTTAGAGTTGTGCTGTAACTCCCATTTTAAACCCAGGCGGACCTAATGAGAGAGGCCAGCCCGCTTTCTAAGGCACATTTTGAACAACTTTGGTTTAAACTTATTAAAATGCCAATCTCATTTAATTTGCACCATGAGTCTATGGCCATACCACCCTGAATGCATGTGATCTTGCTAATCTCGTCTAATTTTCACCATGAAAAGATGTTAATTGAAAACATTTCTAAAATAAACTCCAGTTTAGACTTATCATATAGCAACCAATTGAGCCAGGAAAAGATTAGCAATAGCAGCTTCTTCACAATGTATTGGCATCATATATCCAATGAGTTGTTGCCTTCCCTTCTTCCTTAGAAAACGAATAGCTAAAAAGTGAGTCCTCTGAAAAGAATTCTCAGTGAAGCACTCAGTGAAGAAAGGACACTTCATTTGCAACACTGTGGAAGACAATTAGAACTTTTACAGCAATAGGAAGACCTTCCGGACACCAGAGGGGAACTCGTGTCCTTTTCTGTTGTCCTTTTCCCTCTTTCCTTGTTTACTTTTTCTGGTTCACCTAGTAGTAAGTCATTTTTCCTTTCACGGCAGCTGCCATCCCATCTGTCTCTGCTACAAGAGACAGATGTAGCAGAGATGCAGCATATCCGGCGTGGATGGCATGTTTTCCGTCCCGGGGAAAAATCGGCCTGTCGTTCATGTCTTCTTTCTTATGCTGCTGTGTTCTTCCCAAGGGAGCCATGGGCAGTTCCTCATGCTCTATGATACTCATATTCTTAATTCTCTCATTTCCAGAAATTCTCAATGTGTATTTTAATATCTTCTCTCGAGCTCATTAGACAAGAGAAAGTTCATTCCAACAAGTCATGCCAGACAGGGATAGACAGGCAGCATTTGAGTGTCTGAGAACCTGCACTAGGAGTTGTTTTTTTGGGGGGTGGGGGGCAGGGACTGTTTTTTGTCATTCCCAAGTGCCGGGCTAATTTCTTCATCAATTCTCTTCTCACTGTTCCAGGGAGGAAGTGACTGAGCATGATTGTAGGCAGGAAAGGAGGTTATAAACAATGTACCAAAAGAGGAAAACAATTTTAGTTTATGTAGCTTTATAAAAATGAAGGAAGGACGCCCACTAATTTGTTGATCTGAGAATATGATGATTTTTAAATTAAAATTTAATTTAAAAAACACCTGGGCCCTGGCTGGTGTAGCTCAGTGGATTGAGTGCGGGTCTGTGACCCTGAGGATTTCGATTCGATTCCCAGTCAGGGCACATGCCTGAGTTGCAGTCCAGTTCTCAACAGGGGCCACATGAGAGGCAACCACACATTGATATTTCTCTCCCTCTCTCCTTCCCTTCCCCTCTAAAGATAAATAAATAAAATCTTAAAAGAAAAACACTTGGAATTGAGCTTTCTAACTTTACTTAGAGCATTTTGCTGAAGCTAGTTAATCTCAGGTATTTTCTGATTCATTAGATATTATTCCCAACCAATTACAGTTCAATTTATTTTTTTCTTCTAGCAGTCAATGCAGACATAAAACAACCCAGATGTCCTATTTCAAATAAAAGAGATGAGATGACAGTTAGCTTCATTCCCACAACATCACTGTATCGAACAACCCATTCTCCACTGACTTCTTTCTCGGCCGCTTCCCCAGTGTTACCATGTGCGCACACTCAGGAATCTGGGGTGCCCCGTGACAGCCCGGGAAATACCAGGAAGTGGCAAATACTGAGCACCCCAATATTCCTACACTTTTAAAATT